TTGTGCAGTTGTACCCTGGCAGTACAGAGGTCTCCAGCTTGATCAGCTCTTCCATCACATCTGGAAACATCTGCACTCCAGAGCTGCTGGGCCTGGGCAGGGCTGGCTGGGGGGTGTCCCTGCCCTCACCCTGGGAGGGTTTCCTTCTGAGAGGTGTGTTGGGGACAGTTCTTTAACCTCCTTCTTTGAGGCTTGGACCGGGTGACCTTTAGAGGTCATTCCCAACCCAGCCTGTCCCGTGATTCCCTGTGCAGACAGGTCTGGGATGGTCTCCTTGGCTTGGAAGGGGAGTGGGAGGAGGTGGAGCCAGATCTGCCTCCCCTGCTCCTGCAGAGCCACCCCAAGGGTGCTCCACACCACAGTGGATTCACTCCCTGTGCTCATCTTGTTCCATCCTTCTCTTGGAAGAGCCTGGATCTTCCTGCACTGCTGGGCTGCCCCTGCCAGGGGAGGGTGGAATTTTCCTTTACTCTGGAATAACGAGCCATGGACAGGTGGCCTCCAGGGCCTGTGTGGTTTGGTTCCTGCTGGGACTGTGTTTAGAAAGCAGCATCTGCTCCCCTTTCCTGCTGCTTTTCCACTTGGAAGACTCCAGGCAGAGGCAAAGCCGAGGGACTGGGTGACAGGGAGAGTCCCTGGGGTGCAGAGGGAACTCCTGGCTCTGGCTCAGGTGGGACACACACTCAGGGCCAGCAAGTGCTTCCAGCTCCCCGAGTTCCCCCAGGGCCCCCCGTGGGATCTGTGGGATCTGTGTGACCTGTGCCCTTGGGATGCTCCTGCTTCCCTGCCCTGCTCCTGCTTCCCTGCCCTGCTCCTGCCCGTTGCTGGAGGAGATTCCCAGTGCTGGGAGTTTGTTCTCCAGCTGCTGATGGTGATTCCTGTCCTGGCCCTTCCTTCCCTCCTTGGCCGGGTCTGGAGCTGGTGCTGAGCTGGGACAGGGGTCCCTGTCCCCACGGAGCCAGTGGGTGCTGCTCATGGAATCCCTTGGGACTGGGTGCTGTGTCCTGGTGCTGATGCCAAGGTGGCTTTGGTTGGTCACGTCCTGCAGAATCCCTTTATTCTGGTGCTGAAACTCACCCTTTCCCCGGGGGATTCTCCACCTTGTTTTTTCTTGGATAACTCCACCTTGGAGTTCTCCCAACTCCCGTGAGTGGCTGTGCTGGAAAATTCTGCTTTTGTTGTTGTTTTGCCTGAGCCAAAAGCACAGAGAGGAGTCAGGACTGGGAGCTCCAGGCTCTGGTGCCTCTGGAGCAGGGGAGGACGTTGGTTTGGACAAGGCTGTGAACCCTCAATGTTGGAAAATCATTCTGGGGAGCAGAAACCAGACAGTGTTTTTGTGAACTATCTTTGCAGCACTGAGGAAAAACTCCCAGGAGTTGGAGTTTTGGGAGCACAGATGTGCAGTCGGTGAACGAGGATTTGAAGTTTTACTGGTTTTAAAGAGGTTTTTTTCCTTCCTTTTTTTTGCTCCATTTCTGTAGTTTGTGGATCAGGTTTTCACTAAAAGCTGGAGAACCAGTTTCAAAATGTTGTTGTGCCATATTTTATTTATCCTTATGCGTTATAAATATATAACTATCTATTTAGACTGAATATTGCATTAAAAGATGCTGTTTTTGAGAACTTCAGGGTTTAAACCCGAGACAAAAAAAAAATGGGAGATACTTCTGCAGTACTTTTGCTGTTTGGGACCTTCTTCCTGAAGAGGCTCCCTAAGCTTTTTATGGTGTAAAACCAAAATCACACCCTGAAATTCCAGGCTGGGAGATGCTGACCCTGAAGTTCTCAGGTTTGTGGTCCTTTGGTTTTCTCAAGGTACATCTGGTTGCTTTTCTGGTGCAGTCAAATAATTTTTTAAAAGGTCTCATCTCTGGAGTTATTGAGGAACAGGTGGAATGGGTCGGTCCATCCTGCTTGGCTTTTTTAACCTATTAATCTTTGAAGTGATCGATTTTTTCCAATTAAAACCCAACTCTTTAGGTCTCTGTTCTACTTAAACTTTTTAGGAGTGAGAGCCTGCCCTCGCTGAGTGGGACTTGGATGGGGAAAGCAGTAGAGGATGAGGTTGCTGTTGCTCAGGAATTGATTAGTAAACTTTTAACTACTAATAAAAGTCCATTTCCCAATGGATTTTTTGAAAAACCCATTTTCTTAGGACAGTGATATGGGATGTTTCCTAGTGAATAGGAATTAGTTTATATAATTTAGCCTATTAAACTGAATTATTTAAAATTCAAACTTCCCCTAATTTATCTTTTTTTTGGATTTTTTTTAATTTTATTTTATTTTATTTTATACTGGTAAGTTGTCCTGTCATTCCTTTCATTCCTCCATAGAAATAGTGTGAATTCTGCTGTGTATATATGTATGTATAATATATATATTTCCACCCTGCCTTTCTAATTCTCCACAATGTAAGAGTTAGTTTTTGCTCCCCTCCCTCCACTTAATTTCTTGTGTCTCTCCCTTGATTTGTAATTGAAACGATGCTTTGAAGTTTTGTCTTTATATTAAAGTGTCTGTATTTTAATACACCGAGATCTTGTGGAGTTTCACTGGGTCAGAGGGGCCTGGAATTGGGGCCAGGAAATGGGATCTGGGGACCTGGTGGCATAGGAGGGACAGAGACCCCCTGACCTGCATTAGGGACCACCTTCAGCTCTGAGGGGCTGGGGGGGCCTGGGGGCAGTTCTGGGCCCCTCAGGACAAGAGGGACACTGAGGGGCTGGAGCTTGTGCAGGGAAGGGAAGGGAGCTGGGAAGGGGCTGGAGCAGCAGGAGCAGCTGAGGGAGCTGGGGGGGCTCAGCCTGGAGAAAAGGAGGCTCAGGGGGGACCTTCTGGCTCTGCAACCCCCTGACAGGAGGGGGGAGCTGGGGGGGGTCGGCTCTGCTGCCAGGGAACAAGGGACAGGAGGAGAGGGAACAGACCCAAGTTGTGCCAGGGGAGGTTTAGATTGGATATTAGGGAATATTTCTCCATGGGAAGGGTTGTAAAGCATTGGCACAGGGCAGTGGTGGAGTCACCATCAAACAGGGGGTGGATGTGGCCCTTGGGACAGGGTCAGTGGTGGCCTTGGCAGTGCTGGGACAGTTGGACTCGCTGAGGTCTTTCCAGCCTAAATGATCCTGTGATTCCCAACCCCTCCCAGTGACATTCCCGTTTAGCCAGCAGTGTCAGCAGTGGGATAAACCCACCATCAGCCAGGGGCTTTAATTCACTGCATGATTCTTAAACCAAGGACCAGCCCTGGATTCCCACAGCCCTTCCCAGCTCTTGGCTCTGCTGGGCCTGACCCAGCTCATCCCAAACATGTTTGGCACCGGAGCTGCCCCTTGGCTCCACCACCAACCATCAGCTGGACCAGGTGACCTTCAGAGGTCCCTTCCAACCCAAACTGTTCCATGAAGAATCCTCTCCAAATCCCATCGTGGAGCCACCCCCAGCTGGCTCCTGGCGAGGCACCTTCCCCCCATCCCTGCTCCTGCTCCAGGGGGAGGAGACCACCTGGACACCCCCTGGAGCTGCTGGTGCTCAGGTGAGAGCCCTGAAACCCCCCCTCCCTGCCAAGGCTCTGTGCCTTAGGACAGCTCTGAGCAGCACATGGATTAAACCAAGATTTATTGGCAACATACAACAGAGAAATGGCTCTGGGGGAGCCTGGGCCCAGCTCTGACTGAAATACAAAACTCCAAGTGTGAAAAATGAACAATTGTCTATAAATCACCAGCAGCTGATGCAGATTTTGATGTGTCTACAAGTACCATCTCCCCTTAATGCTGAACCCCAGCCCGTGTGCCAGCCCTGCCCCAGTGTGGGTCTGAGCTCCTGGGCCCTGGAACTCTTCACAGCATTTGTTTTACATTCACTTAAGAAATGTCACTGGTGCCTCTTGAGCAAGTGTCAGGGTTTGCTCTTGTGCCCAGAACAGCACCTGAAATGCCCCTTTCCTGCACAGTGCCAGTGGGGAAGGGTTGCCCAGTCCTGCTCCAGGACCAGGACACAGCTCTGAGTGCTAAAAAGGCCCCAAGCTTGGCAGAATTCCCGAGGTTTGGGTTAAACTGCACATGGAAGGATCCACTGATGCAGAGCTGAGCCTGGATGTGGCTGTTCTGCCCCTGGAGCTGGAGGGCAGGGGCTGTGGGATGGAGCTGGGGGGGAGCCCATGCTCATCCCAGCTCCAGTTATCCCACTGCCAAGCAGGAATCCTCCCATCCATCCTCTCCCCAATGACCAGACCAGTCTCCTTTCACAGTAAAAGCTGCCATGCCCCCCCTCCAGGCCAGGGGTGCCCCTGCACTGAGGGAAAGCAGAGCTGGTGAGGATTAAAATGCACTTCAAAGCCATCTGAGGACACCAATTCCCTCCAGCACAAGCTCCTGTGGGTTCCTGCTTTTAATCCCTCCTTGCCTGCTTCCCCTGGAGCTGCCATCTGTCTGCAAATGCCCCCTGGCTCCTGCTCCCTGCCCTGGCTCCTCCTGCAGGGCAGCTGCCCCTCAGCTCATTTTGGTGATTTTTGGAGCACCCAGATTGATTCAAGGGAAAGGGAGGATCTGGGGAAAGAAAAAGGGAAAAAATCTTGGCTTTCAGATTAAAAATAAAGCCTCAGTGACAGCTGTCACTGCCCTGGCACCCAGCAGTGAGAGGTAAAGAGGGAAGGCCAGGCCACTAAAGCTCTTCTTTGGGCATTTATTCTCAGCCAAGGAGGAAAAGACCCACAACTTCCCTTCAAGCCCAGCTCAGAGGCTGCTCCACCCACCCTGGAGGGGAACAACACCCAGAGCTGCAGCCCCCAAAGCTCAGGCCCCCTCCCTGTTCCTTCTGCCACCAACCCTCTGACAGTCTCACCTGAGACCCTCCCAGGGGCTTTTCCTGGGGTTTTTCCCGGGCTGGTCCCAGGGGAGCTGCTGTGACAGTGAGGAATGTGGGTGCCCTGCAGCCCTGGGTGTGGGGAGTGTCCTCCCTCCCTCCCTCCCTCCTCTCTGGGCAGTTTTCCTTCCTGCAGCCATGGCTGGTGGGGTGGGGATGTTGTTCCTAAACCCTTCTCTCCTCCTTCCCAGAGCCCCAGGGAGGCAGCCTTGGTTCCCTGGCAGCCCTGGCACAGTGTTTGGTCTGTCCCTTTGGATGCTCCCGAAGGGGGGAGAGGCTGCAGCCCTGGCTCAGGGCCTGGAGGGTTCCTGCCCAGCTGAACTCACCCCCTGCAGCCCAAACCTGCAGCCAGAGGGAGCAGCTCCTGCCTCTGCCAACCTCTCCATCTGCCTTTCCTCCCTGGAAAGCTGGATCAGAGCTCAGCCCACAGCTCTGCAGAGGGGCAGGAGCCCACAGGGATCCCTCCCTGTCCCTGTTCCCGACTGTTCCCTTTGTTCCCTCGGCTGGGCTGGAGTGAAGGCTCCCTCCAGCCCCCAGGAATCACAACACCTGCCCAGGGAAGGGAGAAGAAAACCCCCAAAGGCAAGTGCCAGTGGCTGCCCAGAGCTGCTGCCTCGGCACAGGGGAGCAGATGGCTCCTGCCCGGCAGCTGGAGCTGTGGCTGAGCATTCCCAGTGTTACTGGGAGCATTCCCAGTCCTCCCTGCTCACCAGCTCAGCTCCCCAGAATGGCTCTGCAGGAGCAGGAGAGGGCAGGACAGGAGGGGGTTAACCCTGGAGCACAGAGATGTGATCACAGCATCCTCTTACAGCCCCAAGGGCTCCCTGGAGATTGAGGGAAGATCCTGAGCCAGGAAAGCTGCAGCTCCTTCAGGAGAGGGACAGGGAGGAGCAGGAGAAGGGCTGGAGCTCCAGCAGCTCCAGGCCCTGGAGGACATTGGGTGCTGGGAGCTCTGTCAGCCCCTGCCTCTGCTCACCCCAGGGGCCAGAGGGTTCTGCTCCCACCCCAAGGGAGCAGTTCAGCCTCCACAGCTGGGAAAGTGGGAATGTACAAGGAATTCCCTTTAAAAAAAAAAGAATAAAAAATGATTTAGGTAATAAATAAAAGAGTCCCTTGGTCACTGTGGGGCTCTGCTGTCCTTCCCAGGGGTTGGGGTGGCCCTGGGGAGCCTGCTCAGGACTCAGGAGCCAGTTCAGCCCAGGTGAGGGAATTCCTGCTGGCGTTTTCCCAGCTGGAAACGGGCTTCCTCCGAGATCCCGTACTGCTCCAGGGGGTCCTGCAGGAGAGCACAGGGAGGCAGCAGTGAGAGGCAGACAAAGGGGTGCAGGAAGTCCAGCAGCCCCTGGGAGGACACAGGACACAGCAGGTGACCAGGGGCTGTGGGCACAGGGAGTCACTGGAGCAGGGATGCTCCGAGGGGCCTGGCAGGGTGGGAGCAGCATCTCCACCCACAGATCTGGCCAGGGCTGGGGGTGAACTTTCCAGAGACCTGCTGGGAGTCCAGGCAGGCCTGTCCAGCTCCAGTCCTTGGACCCCCAGCATGGCAGTGTGTGTGTCTGAGGGTCCGAGCAAGCACAGGAAGGTTCCCCATGGCTCCCCATGGAATCTGGGATCTCCTTCCAGATCAAACAGCCTGTGCAGGACTGGCAGCAACACCCACAGTCCCCAGCTCCTGTCCAAACCCATCAGTCACCACCTGACCCCGAGGGCCTCACTCACCTTCCCTGTCATCTTCTGGATCTCATTCCGGTAGAAGATCAGGCTCCTCCTCAGGAACTCGTAGCTGCAAGACAGGAGCAGACCCTGCTGAGCACGGGAGGATGTGGGCAAGTTTCAGATGCTATTTAGGGCTGGGGGAAGCTGGTTTGGGAGGGACAAGCCCTGTGCTCCCGGGTTCCCCCAGGCTGAGCCCGGAGCTCCCGGCACAGCCTCGCTCCGATGGCTCTTCCCACCTGGCTCGTTTGAGGGCCTCGACCCACTCCTGGCACTGCTCCTCACTGGCACACTCGAAGCAGTATTTCCTCTCTGGCTCCTCGATGAAACCTGCCAGGAACAAGGAAAAGGCTCGAGGGGAGCAGCCCGTGCTCCCCTGCCAGGCTCAATTAGCACCTCTGTTAATGAGGATGAGCTGGGAGCGAGTTGGGAACCCCAGCCCTGGACCCTCTCCTGTTCCCTCCCCGCTCTGGCTGCCCTGGAGCAGCTGCCTGGGACATTTGTCAGCTTCCAGCAGCCAAAGACCTCGGGAAGAGCAACTTCCCAAATGGGAGCAATTGAATTGAAGCAGATCTGGGACTGGAACTCCCTGAGGCTCCTTGGGAGGGATTTAAATCAAAGGGAAAAACAGCCCTGAGGAAGGGCCTGGGATGCAGGCACAGAGCAGCCCCTGAGGAGTTGAACTGCACTGGGAGAGGGCCCTGGGCTGCATTTGCTGGAGGCTTTTGGGAATGTGGTGCCGTGCAAATCCCTGTGCAACTCCAGTCCTGTACAGGACAGAACCAGGAATCTCAGCAATCCCTGAGCCCAGAGCTCTGCCCTGCACAGACCCTGGGGGTCAGGCTGCACCAAGCGTGGCACAGCCCCAGCCCCACATGGCTGCTGGGGGGTTTAACCCTTCCCTCCCTCGGGAATCCTCCCCACAGACAGCCCCAAACCCCCCGACTCAGCAGGACTGGTGTGCTGGGGCTGCTC